TTCTAGTAACAACATAAGACTTATCAAAACGTTTTTATCTTCAATCACAATATAAGTGTTTCTACGACAAGCAATCTTATCATTCAATCTTATCATCAATCTCTTTATTTGGAAAGGTCCATTCAGCTGATGGGGCCTTCTTGGTAAGAGTAGGTGAGGGTTCTTATAGTAAATTGTCCCCAGAGCAACCTCCAGAAGGGAAAAGTCCCAGTTTCAGAAAGGATCCTACCAGAACGGGGGCAGCTTCATCAATTGAAAGGACCTAATCAACCAAATTGAGCCCATTTAGTAGGTGAAGAAACAGAGCATGACAGATTGGGCCCAATTGGAAGTGCCCCACCTCTCATTCGTCATGTACCTATTCCTGAAAGTGTCCAATGGGAATATTCCGCTTCTTCACTAGGTGAAACCTCCCTTCAAGAGGTGAACCTTGGATTAGACATACCTTTGGATCCATCTATCATGCTTCCAATTAACACACAAGGAAATAATGGCCACACTTAAATGTATAGCACCATACAATCTCAAGTATTTGCGTCACCAATCCTTGATTTTAGGCTACGAAACAAAAAATTGTTACTCTCAGTCATGATAAAATCTACCAGTTTGGACCCTTCAGATGGTGAAGTCCCACTTCCGAAAGTGAGGCTTGAGCGATTACGCAATATTTAAATATAGATTTTTATTAAACTTTATTTTAATTAATTTACATGAATTTCTTACGTTTTATTGTATAATTGGAACCTGAATTTTGGAAATTACATTTCCGTCATTTGATGTGGCAGCCTCCAATTTGTTGGGCTCAGAATGGAAATTTTATATTAGGGTACATTCCTGTATTTGAAAAAACATTAAAGAGAAACTTCCGAGCCAATTTTGAAAAAATCGAAACTGTTTCTAGGAACTTTAAGTAAGGTATTCCCAAGAATTAAAATATCAGTTGACGCGATATCATCCAGAGTATTCGGGAAATATTAATTTACTAGACAAAAATCCTGTGAACGATTTGGGCGCTGGGTTCCTTACAGACAAGTGGATAGGCGTTTTGAGAAAAGTAAGTATTTGGATTCTATGAGTTCCTATTGTCCCTATTCTTTTTGAATTTAACATAACTTCCTCTTTACCATCTATTTTACTGCGTTATATTACGTACAGATATTTAAACGTACTCGGAAAAAAATCTAGACATACTACGGAATAGTACATACTTTATCGTTCTATTGTTTCCTATTCTCTTGAGTCTGCACCAGGGCTACCGAACTACGTGTTAATTCTCGCGA